TTCCCCGCAGGCTCCTTCCTTGCGCTGGGCACCTTCGAGTCGAGTTCCCTGGAGTTGTTGCCCTGGGAAGCTGCAGTCTGGGAAGCAACAGGCTCCAACCCGAGAGGCGCTTGGCCGAGGGCAAAGTGTGTGGTTAAGAACTAAAACAGGAGCAGCAGAGCGAAGAACTAAAACAGGAGCAGCAGAGCGATTTGCACAGCTAAACCCCCTGCATACAGGAGAAAAAGGATCTGTTCTTTGGTTTGGGATTTTTTTTTGTTGTTGTTTTTTTCCCCGTGGCTCCCCCTTTGCCAGTTCCCTTTAAAGTTTTTTGCACTAAGTCAAATTACATCACATAGCTGTTGAGAAGGAAGGAAGCGAGGAAGCAGGGAAGGAAGGAAAATAAGAGCTGCTCTCATGGCTGCAGCTTGGTTTGTGTTAAATCAAGGTCCAGGATATTGGCGTGAACAGGACGACTTGCAAGGTACCACGGCTAAGAAAGACTCATCCTCCAGCAGGGGTTAACCCTGTATTTGCTGAACCTGCAGTGGCGTTTGCTCTGGAGACCTGGGATAGGTCTCGGAGCGCCGAGAGGCTGCTCCGGCTGCTTCAGAAAAATGTTCCCTTTACCACTTATTATTTACCATTTATTACCTTTCCCAGGCAAATACATCTCTGTGTGTTAGACTAGCCCTGGATATATGAATCCATTCCAGATATAGAGTCATTTCAAAAATGTGGATGGCATTTACCTGGTGAAATAAAAGTGGTTGCTCCTAATCAAACTGTTGTACTGAATGAAAATCAGATTCCTACGCATTTTGCACAACTAGCTGTAAAGCAGATGACCAGTAAAGCAGCGAGACTATTTTCAAATATGTGCCGGTCAGAATGCCCTGTGCCATTACTGTTTGGATGTGAGCAAGACTGGGAGCAGCATTTCTCAAACCGCGTTTGCTTGCTCCACACCTTCTGGTCATTGGCACTTCTTCCCAAAAGAGGCAGAGCCAGGTAATAATTTCTCCTGGCGTGAGATTTTCTTCACTAAGTCTCAGCAGACCCTGACAGTCTGAATTTTAGAACATCGTGAAAAACCCAGGCATGTAACAAGGCAGCGTGGGCGCTCCTCTCGATCAAGTGCAGTCACCTGTTAGGTGGCAGCTTCCAGAACTACCCGGTTCCCTGGGGACGCAGCCTTGTCACCAGCTTTGCAATGACAAGATGCGGAGGCGCCCCGATAGGAAACACAAATCCAGCGGGCGGCAAACGGTTACTTGCAGGATTCCTCCCTCCGAGGACGCTTCCCGGAAAGGAAGCCCGCGCGTGGCACGGG